CTAAGCACAAACTTTCTATCTTCAATTGACTTATAATTGCCATGGAAACATATTAGAAAGCTGAGAATAGAGGACAAATCATCTAATGAACAGCAATTAAAATGGTTTTCATATTGAGGTCAGTCAAGGCCCCCTCGTCACTACTTCTTTAGCATCAGGTTCTGAATAAACCCCCTTCTCTCCCTTTTCAAATAAAATGTCTTTAATATTATGCTGTCTAACTTGAAAACACAGTTCAAGGTACTGGTTGAAGGATTAATAAGAATTGCTGTATACTGGGTTTGCTTGCTCAACTTCAAACACATCCACATTTAACTAATGTTAGGTTAGGATTTTACTATAGTTTATCGGTGTATATCTGGCATGAGACTCACAGGCCCTCGTTTGCAGAGTGTGGCTGATTTTGATACATTTTTGGCTACACAAACAGCTGAAATTCCGCAAAAATCACCCTGAAATTCCAGGTGCACCAATATAATTCAATACATTTTTAGATGTGCTCTAAGCACTAGCATGTCTGCATCTTGAGTTGAAATTGCTTTGCTCTGCAAACTGGCTTGAGGCTCAGGCATTGATTTACTCTTATTGTCTAAGATATATCATGAAATGGTTTGCTACTGCATTTTATTTATGAGAATAATTTTGATGAGACGTCTTTTGGAACTTACAGCACGTCCATTAGAACCCATGTTTGGTATCACAATTTTTATGACCTTGAGAGTGCTCTCAGCAGGTCGTTTAAAAAAGATAAATACAATAAAACTGCAACATCACCTTCTGTCTCAAACCAGTCTGATTCGTAGGGTCTGTCTGCGTTCGTGTTGTACCCTCTCTGTTTTCTAGTAGCGTAGGCCTCTCTCTCTTTACGGTTCCGCCCGCGTCTGATATCTGAATGTTTTTTTGTTAAGTCACAGATAACATGATATTTTTTCTTTTTCTTAAAATGCTTCTTTGAGCAATTTTTAAGCTTCTCAAAAACTTTCTCGGCTCGACTCTTACTGCCAAAGCTTCGGTCCTCTCCGTCCGCCATTCCAATACTACAGACAACCACAACCACTGGTATCGATGACACATTAAAAACGCATAGATTGTTGGTTTTAAGGGAAAACAGAAACGAAGAATGTGTTCGTTTTAGGGACGAGGACAACCTGCCTCTGCTTTCTGGTTGTGTAACCTCGTATTGGGCTTTACTTGGAACCTTTCGAACGAAAGATTTCCGATATAGGACATTGCTTGTTCCTTGATAACAGAGACCGGAAGAAATTCCTCTTTCATTCTAATGTGAGGGACATTTGCAATAGAACACTAAGTTATTTCAAACGTCAAATCAGTTAGATTTTGATAGCCATCATGTTAGAGAGGAAAACGTTACTAATGCTCTGCACATTGTGCTATGCTGCATGTTTAGTTTCGACTCAAAGTGAGTTCGATGTCGGTATAGGCCAACAGCAGCAAACTACATTTGGTCAAAAGGTTGATGAAATTGCTGTGAAAGTAAGTTTTTATGCGAATTATTTTATTAATAGTGTATGTATGTGCACAATTTTTTATCTGCCTTGACGAGATCTGAAGTTTGGGCTCATGGACAAATAAATTATGTTTGAGGCTTTTTAGTTAGTTAGAATAATTCCCTTTGTACAATACTAGCTTGCTCCTCTACTTTGTATTTGTTTGTTGAATTGAGCTTCTTTCTTGTAATGTTTATATTAAAAACTTCATTTTACATTGTTTATACTTTTGTGAACTAAGAGTGAACCTGAACAGATCTGAGTCAGATGGATTTCAGAGGGAAGGCTTAGGATGATGATAAGATTTTTGTTCCACTCGCTTCAGTTGTATAGAAACTGATGGAAACCCCAATTTTTACAATTTTTTTAAGAAAATGAGAAGCTAAAAAGTAAATGTTTGTGATGCAACCTCCATCACCCATACTCGGCAAGTCCCTCATTGCCTCCAGTTTACATAGCCATGCCAATTCTAGGCACATAAACTGTATAAATGAAAAGTTTTTTGTTGGGGCTTTGGATCTCAACCAGAAGAGAACAGAAATCACAACCCCCCTCCCCCCCCCCTCTGAGTTATTCCCTCTACATGCATTCTATCTATTTTATTGTAGTTTTTGTGTATTTTAATGATTTCTCGCCATGTTAAGTATAGATTATTTCCACCTGTCACATGAAAAATCTATTGCTGCCATGATGGATCACAACCATTTCTTGGATACACACAGCAATGGGTTATTTATACCATACAGGTTTTGAAACAGACGGCTATCTACGTCAATTTCAAAAACATTTCTTGAATCATTTGCATATGTATCTAGCTGACCTGTTTGCTGTGCCTTCTTATCTTGGAGAATTTCTTAAAAAATTTCTAAGTATATATCTTGAATCGTTTGCATATGTATCTAGCTCCCCTTTTTTAAGTACCTCTCCTCTGCATGCAAACAGTACTGCTAATTGCAAACTATGTTTAGGCCACAGTGAAATGACAAGCTTGAAAGATGTTGTTACTTCCCTGGAACCTCAGGAGAGACTCAGATACGAGGGGGAAAAACTTTAGTTGATGGTATAGACCAATATGCAATGCTTAAGAAGAAGTGGAATGCAAACATAGAGAACTATTTTTCAGTGACATATATTGATATTGCCAACTACCTATTTTTTGATAAGAATGCCTGCATTTTCTTTATGAAAAAGTGTAGAAGGCTTTCAAGACTAAGGATGACTTGAATAGACGCGGACATTAGGGGCTGTAAGAATCAAAATATTGGTGAATCTTTCAAATTGTGATGGTAAAGATTGATGGTAACGATGGTAAAAATTGAGAAGTATCAATCTTGGTAAAGATATACAGTTTGACAAGCTAAAAAAAGACAGGATACAGAACATATCAAAATGCCCCTAAATGCTATTTTTAGGCTTGGTTAAAAGATTAAAATGGCTTTTAGAACAACGGTACTTTGAAATGTGTGTAAAAATTCCATACATGAGAGACAGGCACAGTTTATCAAAGAATAAGGCATCAGTCTAATTCCACTGGGCATTTCACACAATCTCATGCCATAGAGGATTTTTGGTGTGCATTTATATACACATATTGTGTTTTGAAAATGGATTCTTTGCTAGCCCATCGGCCATTCACCAGGTAGTGCGTTTTGGGGCTTGTAATCAGTATGCGCCTTTATACCTGGGTGCCCCATCTCTCCAGCGCCTAGGGGATGATGCCAGCAAAAATGAATCAATATATCGTAGCGCTGCGTAGCATAAGCAGTTGAATATTCCTATGCAAGTTTATGCATTCTTATTAACATGGTATAGATATGCAGTTGTAATAATTCTTTTTATGAAAAAATATACTTTTTGGTTATATTGTGCATGGATAACACAACATTTGAGTTTGATATAATATGTTTTGCGAAGTGGATGGTCGTCCGAGTCGTTCAGACCCGTTGCACTAGAATGTATGACTCTGAATTTAGAGTGAGTTAGCCAATCTCCACATTATTATGCCATATTGATATTATAGTACCGCAAGAGTTGACACAGAAAGATTTATTAGAAGCAGAGTAGAGTGAGCAAGTCTATGAATAGGGATTAAAAGGTGTGGTCAGATTGAGGGGAAGGACCAGGACTCTGCTCGAAAAGCACAGTAACTTAGTGTCCCAAAAGCTTCCTTCAGATGCTTAGCAGTAACAAATGCAAAAAATACAGCAAAATAAAAGGTGTCTTCTGATTTCTAGTAAAAAAGGTTGTGAATCCCCCTCTTTCTTTAAATTTATTGTTATATGTAGGAAGTTTGTATTTGTTTTGGACTATTTTGTTTAAAAAATGATTGATTTTTGAATGTTTTTTGTGTATAAGCAGATGTTGCCAACTGCAAAAAATGTCAGCGGTAAATAGGTTCACAAGAACTGGAACACCCTCAATCCAGTCCCTACCCAAGTTGAAAAATAGCCTTTAGGGGCCCTGACTTTTTTTGCGAATCAACTTTTGAGTTTTTATCCAGAGACAAAAAAGACTTCTTGTCTCTTCTAAATCTGTTGTCACATTCAGTATGCATTCAGTTATTGGACAGATTTTAACCATTGTGATTGATCTAACTGAAGCCTAGCTACTCTTCCTAGGCATCAAAGTGCCAAATCTGAAAGGCTGTTAGAAGACAGTACTTAATTTTTTTTAAATTTGTTCCCAATACAAGAAGGCAAAGCCAACAAGTTGGTTAGGTACATATGCAAACGATTCTAGATATATAATGTTTTGAAATCAATGTAGTTAATAGTCTGTTTCAAAATCCATATGGCATAAATAACCTGTTGCTATGTGTATCCAACAATAGGTTGTGATCCATCATGGTGGCAGTAAGTTAGTCACGTGACAGGTGGGAATAATCTATTAACAATTTTCTAATATTGCCTTTATTTTTCTAATTTTTGTTGTTGTAGATGTTGTCTTTTTAATGAATTGTATAGCCAAAAGGTAACGAAGCTGAACTACTGCTAACTTAATTATATAAAGTGCATCACAATATGTTCACCTGAAACCTTATTTGCTTTCTTTGTTAACTGGTTTAACTCTCTGCTCTAGAGATGTTCATGTTATTCATATGAAATTCAATTAGTTCTCTGATTTTGCTTTTTTTCTTGTGCAGGACAAAATAGCTGAACAAATAAACACAACCGAGAAAAGAACCTTTCTGTACCATTCAAAAGACAAAAAACCAATGGCAGTTTATGATAAACTTTTCAAAGGAAGTATTATATTAATGTTGAGGTCATACTTAACTTCACTAGGTCAAGATTCTTGGTTATTCAATAACTATGACCCAGACCATGTAAATGTCCAGCGAACCAATGATAATGTTCCATGGGTAAACTACAGAGATCCAGCAGAGTTTGAGAAAATGCTTGTTTCAAAGACCTTGGTCAAAGCAATCAATGATTTAAATGGTGTAAAAGAAGAATGGTACCCATGTAAAGTGACTGGAAAAGTTGTACGAAGAGGTGATCATACAAAAGTTGTTGCGGATTCTGCAGAGACTGGGGAATTCTCAGTGCTGTTTTATCTAAACTCCAAATGGAGGAAGAATTACTATGGAGAGTTGTACTTGTAAGCTAAATTTAATGTTTTAATAACTTACTGGTTTTGCAATGTATAAAACTTTGCAAACCATCAAGACTATGATTATTGACTATTTCAGCAGACTAGTAGATGGCGGAGTTATGATGTTTTGACAAACAGTCTTTGGGAAGCTGTGTTGGAGTAGTCTGTGGCCAAGACAAGTTGGCCCTGCTAGTGTATGTTAGATGATTGCCAATTTCATACATTGACAAAGATGAACAACAACAAAATGTCAATTCTGATTTAGCTTTTTTAGTATTTTGCTTCTTTTGATTGATGTTGTACTACCGATTTGAAAATGTTTAAACATTGAATCCCAAAACATTGATTTTTCTGGTTCTTTTTTCAGCTTTGACGATGATCGGGAAATAATGCATGGTGTTACTCCCAGGCCAGGTCGTGTTGTAATATGGGACAGCTCGATTCTGCGCTTGACAAGGCCCCCAAGTGTCTCCTTCAAACAAGGACAGATTTTGCTCCACATCACATATTCAAAGTCAAAACAAAAGATGCTCAATGAACATGAAAAATGGACAGCTTTTTGGAATGATCGTTTAGAAGCAAAGAAGACATGGTATCTTCCTGATTATGAGGAAACAGACGATAAACCATTGGTTCCAGATGTTTCAAAGCATCTATTTGCAAATTATTCAACTTTAAAGGTATTTATTATTTTATGGTGAAAATGAATCCTCTTGTAAACAGTTTCTGATCTATATACAATAAAAAAAATAAACAATCAATAAATCTCTTCAAACAAGCTAAGGCAAAGTGGCCATGTGATGTTATAAAAAATCTATTTTAGAATCTTTTATTTGTTTACTGTGACCAGGGCTATCAAGGAGAGGGGGGAGGAGGAAATTACCCAGGGCCTCAAGATCTAGGAGGCCTAAAAAAGGAATGAATTTCTTTTCAATATAGAACTAATAGTAAGCAAATTATCACTAAAAATAGTAAAACATTTTAAAAAATTGCAAAAATATTAATGAATTTTAGCAGAACTTTGCTTGCAGGGGCCTTGTCTTTCAGTTTTGCCCCAGGGTCTCTGAAGCCTCTCAACAGCTCATACTTGACCCAAAAGAACACTTTGCGGCATCCATAGAAGTAAAAAAGGTTTATAATTTGGTGAGATTCGGTTAATGAAAAATTTGAAGTTTGCTAATTAATCACTATTAATTTTGATTGGTTGATTGGTAAAAATATGAACAGAGGCCAAACCTCAGTTTTCCACATTTGGAGGTATTCCATGATCCATTTTTCAGTTATGTGATTCAAATTCAAATAATAAATAATTTGAAACTGGTAAGTCTAGAATTAAAATGATATTGACCTTTATCTTGATCGAAAGTTTGCACTCACACCATTTTGATAGCTAATCCTTTCATGCTTAGTTTCTTTTGAGGTACACTGGTACACAAATGTAGAAATACAGTGTCTTTCAGTATCTGTCATTGCGTTTCTTTAGCAAGAGAATTTCTCCCAATCAAACATAGTGTGTTAGCAGTATATAACATATGAGCTTAGTAATTTCAAGAGGGTATTTAACAAGGTTTTTCATCATCTTTTTATGAATCATGCTTCATTTTCAATTCCTTAAAGTTGCCATAAATTTGAATTTTGTCATAGGGCGAGAAAATATTTGTTTTTGATAATCTGTTTCCAAAAGACTTGCTTGACCATATGCGGGCTCATGTGTTGAAGTATGGAACATACTTTTACGATGACAGCATTGATGAGGAGAGTGACAATGTGCAGTGGATAGCTGGCCTCGATATGCCATTGTACTTGAAAAGCCCATACTGGAAGATCATTCATGCGGTAAGGTGTTTGTTTTTTGTAAAGGGTGAATTTGGCAAAAGTATATACATTTTGCAAATTGTTTCTATCATCCTGAACTCTACAAATTTTAAGAAAATGCAAGGTATAAGGATGAGTGAATTTGTAATTGGCTTTCTAAAAAAATTTCAAATTGATGTTATACACTATGATAACCTAGTTATGACATTAAAAATTATCCATTGTTCCTGCCTTGAAACACTTTATTACAAATCTACAACTATCGCACCCAAAATGAAAATAACATTCATCTTTGCAAGGTTAGACTTGAATGCCAGAACAAGCTACTCAGCCATAAGAACTTGTAACAGTATCCCTATTGGTAAATGGGGGGATCTCCTTTTGCTTCATTTAAACCAGGGGCTGGCAACCTATGGCTCGCTGGCCAGAATCCGGCTGAGAAAGATGATTTTTGTGGCCCAAAAGATGATCAAACCATACTATATTTTTTTGGTTGGCTATGAGGATTTTCCAAGGGGTGACAATTGAATATATTGAATCAAAATGAGATTATCTTCATCAAACCTGGGATCATGGAAATATTTTTTCACTATACGTTGTCACAAATTCATCCCGCTTAAAGACAGCGCAGCAGAATCTTTGAGGGAGTAGGTAAATGTTGACAAATGCAGCAAGAACAAATCTTGGTGTAGCACTCATAATATTCAACCAGGAATCACGTTTTTGCCATGTTTCTGTTGCTAGTGCATTGGTGCCCATATTGAATAAATTTGTGTTTTCATATATCAAAGGGAATGGCCTGGGTTAAAAAGCCGATGCTAAACATTGATTGGTCAGTAGTTCTGTATTGCCTTCCCAGGACGATTTCTCCACACCCACATACTTTTTCATATTTGCTGTTTTTCAGTTTTCTTTTTTGCACTTATGATAGTTTTGTTTAGTCTTATCTTCTAAACCAAGTTAAGCCAGCTGCAAACTATCTATGCAATGGAGAGGTTTGTAATTGTAGTGTTGTTGAATTTAAATGAAAACTTTCATTGTTATTATTATCATTTTATTACAACAGTCCTTTTTATTTTTCTTGTACCTTTGGCCCACTAATGAAAATTTTTGAAGGTTCCGGCCCACTCTCCAAAAACGTTGCCCACCACTGATTTAAACAATAGGCGAAAGAAGGCCGTTGAGCGGGGAATGAACCAACAAATTAGAACACAACCTCGTGGAAGATCAACCATTATTTCAGTTATTTGTTAGTCATTTTCTTAAGAATTAAAATTGAAAACTTTATCAGATTAGAGGTTGCCTAAGAGGTTTGGTGTATAAATATTGTTTAATAAAAAAAATGAAAATGAATGCAACTGATTTCTTAAGCAACATTTGTCCCATTAGCACAATGCAAATGTTAAGGGTTCTGAATCGCGTTTCGCTTGTTGTTTGATGGTTTAATGTCATAATACTTTGTCTATAAAATAACGCTTTGCTTTAAAAAGGAAATAATGGGAAAGTCAATGATGCCATTGATAAGAAACGCCTTCAAAAAAAGCCAATAATATTTCGATAAAAGGGGCTTCGTGTACACGGCGTACATGCAAACAGGGGCGGACACTTGATCAAATATTGGAGGGGGGGCAAGCCTTTTATTTTAATAAGATGACGTCACATTTCCCATAGTTTTAGAACAAAAGACCATTGTCCTCTAAAGTATTGGCGGTCGCCCCGCCCCCTCGTCCCCTCCAAGTGTCCGCCACTGCATGCAAAGCATCAAAAAGGGCATGGAAACAGTATATTTACATAGTATTAATTTTGTTAAAAATTTTTGTGAGCAAGGCATAAACATATTTATTAGATTCAGCTACGTATGGCATGAAAGGTCGATGCCTAAGTAGAGAAGATTGCTTTTGGAAACTTCATCTGTCAGTTATTATACAGAAACAATAGCTTCATTGCCTCGAGCTTCATATGGAATTCCTTAGAGCCTCTTCTTGGTTGGCCCCATCATGTTAGGGACATTCTTGTAGAATTATAAAGCATGGAAACCCCTGAGTGTGAAATGTTCTTGCTTAATTTTTGTTCCATGTAAAAGTACAAAAGCATGAGCAAATAAGGGTAAGCGCAAATCGCAAAGGTGGCCTTAAACTAAACTCAAACCGTTTTTGAGGGTTTGAGAAGAAAAAGCATTGGCCTTTTTCTGCCGACTAGCAAAACCTTGCTTGTGTAAAATTCGCACGCCATTCGGTCATTAACTAATGCACGAAGAAAGGAAATAGAAAATTATCACGCCAATAAAAACCCGGAAATACCTAGAAATGGGTTGGGTCGGCAGGTTTGCAAAACACTTTACTTTCCAACATCCAATTTCAGGTTGCCTTGCAAAATGTGAGGAATAAACTTTTCCAACATGAAGTTCATATCCTCGAGGCTATAACTTACTTGTAGGTTTGTTGCTTTGGCCTAGGACGCAATGTAATGCTTACTCGAGCATTACTAAAATGAACACAAGCTCCACATCCGTGCGATTTGTGCCAAAAACAAAAGCCCAAGGAGTACCAAAGAGGTTTACTCTGTTCTATATTAACGTGATTAGATTTCGTTTGATCGAGCTTTATTTGTGACAGGTCGCAAAGTATGCATCTGGTTCTTCAGAATGGTTCCCATATGATGTGTCAACAAATCTGGTACGCAATGCAGACCATACTAGGATACATCTGGACACCGGGCATGACAAGGAGAAGGAATGGACATTCCTCGTATACCTGAATCCAAACTGGACGCAGAATTATTATGGAGAAACAGCGTTTTTTGAAAGGAATAGTGATGATACAGAAATTGTTGCAGAGGTTAGGCCAAGATATGGAAGATCTGTTATTTTCCAAGGTAATTGAATTTTTTAAACCGTTATAAAAAATTTCTTGTGTTTAGTGCTAGGTCTGTTGATATATTTAAGCTATATTCATCTTACCAAATACGCCAGTCTCTGGGCAAATATGAAAAACACTTTGGCTTTGTATCTGAGAAACGCTGATCTTTCATGAACTAATTAATTTCTCTTTCATCATGAATTATGTCAGTGTTGCCAGTCAATCATGAAAAAACATGAGAAAGTTTTGTTACAATCGCAGGCCAAATACCACATTCTGCTCGACCTCCAAGTCTGAATTTCACTGGAGCTCGGCTGACGTTTGTCACAAAATTGCAAGAAAATGAGTACTATGGACGCTACAAGAATCTTGAAGAGGAACTAAGGCATTTCCAATCGCATTCGGGTGCCATTGCGACGCTGGAAACATTATCACGCTCAGGAGACGAATTACAATATATGCAACAGATGAAGAAAGTGAGGGATCAAAGGAAAACACGTAAGTTCGTGTAATTTTAATTCATTTATCGTGATTTTTATAAAAAGAGATGTAAAAGCTTACCGTTAGATTTAAATGTGAATCATAAGATATTCTTTACATATTGCAAGGACTATGTTACATATCGTAGGAATTCAGATAGGTATCTTGAGTATGTTGATACATAGCATACAATTGTGTTGCATTTTCTAAGAATCACGTCACGTATAGTAATAAAGATGCTACGTATCAAAAGGATTCAGTAACATATACATAAAAATTCTGCTACGCATCCTAAGAATTCCGCCACGAATCTTGACACTTACGTGACATATGAAAAACGGTACCATTAGAATTATATCACATGTCTTAAAAGTACGATACCTTTTAAGAGAATTTGCTAGGATTGGTTCACTGCTCCAAAACTTTGTGTCGGTGGAAGACTTTCCATATCCCTCGGTATGGTTCAAAATATCACGGTTTCATTACTTCTCACGAGTACATATTTGTTACCTTGGCGTCTCTTACACCTTTTTATTTTATGTGTTAATATGCTACATACACTGCCGAAAAATGTGGTTAGTTATCGAAGTTAAGAAAGAAGATGTGATTTATGTGATTTTCATTTGTGCTTCTTTCAGCTAAATATAAGACTGAAAATGCAGATACAAAGCAGCCAGTTGAGAATGAGGGTGGTGAAGATGGTGTTGAATATACAGATAAGGTTGACATTGATAGCGAGGGTGAAGAGGGTGAGAATGAGGAGACAGAAGGTTTGTTTACAATGTCTCATCAATGTTCAATTGCAGTAAAACCAATTCCTAAATTTTCTTTATTGCCCCTTTATAAATCTGCTTTGCCTAGTTTATGCTATGCAAATATGCTGTAACTTTCTTAAAATCTTGTGTTATGGAAGTTTCTTTGCAAAGGTGTGAGCCAAACAAATTGATTAATCTTACCTGATGGTTTTATGACACGAAAGTGGAAGGCATTTGACTCAATAAAGTAACAGTTACAGATCTACTCTGTAAGATACAGAGTAGAAAGGATGCAGAGTGAAAAAGATATGGAGAATTGTGTTCTTCTACGATGGCTGTTAAGACATTGAATGCTCGATTCAGCCAGAGAACCGAGGAGCTACTGGCAACAAGTTCCATTTGTACAGCGTCATTTAGCTAATATATGATACAAATGCAGCTTGACAGGTAAACGAACATTATCTATTTGGGTTAAGACCATTTTCCTCTTTTTTAGGCGAGGAAGAAGAAGAGGAGCCAGAGGAAGAAGGGGAAGCACCTGAAGATGTATCAGAGTTAGTGCAAAGGCAGAGGCCCCCGGCTGATGCGCAAACTGACGAGCCAAATGAAGAAGAGGAAGAAAACCAGCCTGATGTCCAGTGAGAATTATATGTCTAGCATATTGAGAGTGATGCCACGATTCTACTTTGCATTGATAATGCTATGAAATTTATTGGCAGATGGCATCTTCATTTAGCGGTCTTTCGAAGATGTATTTCGACGTTGTTAAAAACGTGAACTCACTTGTTAATGCTTGGTAGGCATTGTTTTACAAAGAATAAAACGCTAGGACGAAGAATTGCCACTAGATTTAGAATACAGAGATTGCATTTTAATGCGTTTGCATTAAAGTCACTAATTTCTAATTTCCATTATCATTCCACTGTAGAGGTTCAAATATAAATTCCCTTAGGTTTTTAAATTGCAGTTTAATCCCATTAAGTCGGACCTTTAAGGGGGTTAAGAAAAATAATGATCCGACTTAGAGAATATCTGACTTTTCCAGGGCACGACTTTACGCTTGAATAAGGAAATCCAATAGTAATTTATATCAATCTGTTTTAGAGAAAGTCCGTTTTGTCCGGGGTACGATTTAACAGAATTGAACTTCCTTTTGTTCTTTGGCACATACTACAGAAGTACTCTCATATTGTCTTTATCTTTTTTTAGGTACATCGTGTCTAAAATGGAGGAGATTAAGAAAAAAGACTTTGGAAATGCAAAGCGTGTTGCAGATTTGTACAATGAGATGAAAAGCAAAGATGCGGAGCTCTTGGCAAAAATGAGCGAGAAGTTCCCAACTTTGTTGTAAGTTGGAGTTTGGAGTCTGAAGCAGCGGAGAATAATCTCGATGAATGAAACATTTTGTAGAAACTTTGTCAACACATTTGAGCTAGAGTGTTGTTCTTGTGTTTTTCCATGTTTTAGAAAGTTGCTTTCTTCACCCCATAAGGGTTGAATTTTAAAGTCGCTGGCAGTGATAAAGTCGATCGAAAACCTTCTTCAACAGCTGGTCACTTTAAGATAACACCAAGAATGCATTAGGTTTAAGTTTAAAACTTGCTTCTCCTTCAGACCTTTTTAGAACCCCTTGCTTCTCCTTCAGACCTTTTTAGAATCCCTTTATGTTTTTATTCTTTCCTGCAACACCTCTCTTATTTTTTATAAACATCGGCAGCGGATTTTACACCTTTTTAATGAAGTAAGAATACCATGTAGTTGAGTTATTTATAATGGCAATTTGTAGGATGGGAGCTGAAATATTTGCTGTTTTGGACATTTGACTTTTTATATGTGTTTTCATTCTCTTTTTCTTGCAATTGCTGTTTACTGATACTGCTATTGCAGAGTCCAGAAATGTCCATAACCTTCCTGCGGTCAAAATTTTGTCCATTTTTTTCTTGTAAAAACCTTCCTTCATTTTTAAGTCAATCACCTTGGAGTTTGACTTAGTTTGGCTAGGGAATAGCTAGGGCATATTGGGTAACAGACGCTATAAATCGAGACAAAATTGTGTTTGGGTCGATGGTAATTATCGCGTACGATAGAAATTTGCTAGAATAACATTCAAAACATTTCAGCTCAAGAATGATATTTCATTTAAATGTCGAATAATAAAATCGATATGAACATGCTATGATATAGATTGAAAAATTACAAAACCATGGAACACGAAAAATTTTGTTTTTTCAGATGTATTTTCTGGCGATAAAAGAGCGTGGCCTGAAAGCTTTTGTTTTGTCCCCCTCCCCTCCTCCAAAGCCAAGCGGTTCGCGCCATCTATAGATTTTGCAACAGATTCAACGCTTGTTTTAAAAGCGTCACGAAGAAACAAGTGCAAAATAAGTTCTCTGAATTGTTTTTAAACTTCTTTTTTACCAAAACCTTCCTCCAAATTTCTATTGTTTCCCAAACCTATTGTTCCTCCGGTCAATGACCGTGTGACCTTCCAGTCAATGACCGGTCGCTTTCTGGACTCTGCCCTATTGCCAAGCGTATAATAAGATTGTAGTCCCTGTAAAATAGGCTAACAACTCGCGATTTTTGATTGTTTCAAGGTATTAAAAGGCTGTAAATTTCTAGGGAACCACAGTATTCCATAAATTTCAACTTTTTCCAATGACTTGCTGGATCTAATTTGTGTAGGGTTTTCCACGTCAGTTCTGTGTGTGTAGTTTCTCAAGAAAGCAAGAGCACCTCTTACACCGACTTTAGATTGTTACCATTCTCTATTCTATCTCATACGCGAAGTGGGACTTTTTGGTCGCTAAAGACAAACTTTTCCTGCAAATCTCAATGGAGATTCGAAACTTTCAAAATTCTTGACACATTGCATGCTATTGAGGTCTGTAGGAGGGATGTCCTGCCACTGGCCTCTTACACTTACATGTTCAAAGTCTACACTGATTTTTCCGAGTCATGAAATGTTCTCTGGTAACCACCTGCTTTGAAACCTCTCCACCAACAGTTGGGTAGATGAGTCTATCTTAAAATTGTGTAGGGTTGTTATTATGTCTTTTGTCTAGCCCATTGGAGCGAAGCGCATTGGAGCGAAGGCTTTTGGATAAAATTACCAGTTATCGGCGCTTCTGAGCATTTAGACAAGATTTTTGTAAATCATGGTTGCCAGAGTTCAATTCTCATATTAACACCATATAAACCAGAGTTCAATTGTAACTATTCTCGGGATGCCCTTTTCTCGAAATTTTTATCGTCTTTTGATTCGAGGCTGCCATATTCCCATAACGCCTTGCGCAAACCAGCGATTTTGTAGCCAGTAACGGCGATTTTTGCGACGAGGACAAATGTATAGCAAGCTAGATAGTTTTTGTCGACAGCGGTTAAAAACAGAAAATCGCAAGTCTACCGGAACAAAAACAAATTCTCTAGTTGTTTAGTCGATCATCAAGTGTTTTCAAGTCAAAATGAAACAGTTGTTGATTGTTGTTAGAGGGGGCCTATTATAAAAGGGTCCAAAAGCTGAAAAAACATGTAAAAAATCAGCCAAACTCCGTACTCTGCAATGAAATAAGGTGAAAAGACGCAATCGCGATTGAAAAATGATGTGACACAAAAGCCAACTAATTGTTTCTTAGAAAAAGGAATCATTGCTAGAAATATCTTTTTTACAAGTTCGTATGGTTCTCACTCTTTTTCACAGAACAAGCTGTTGCGCTCGCTGGTCCAAATCTCATTCAACATTTAATGATTTCTTGCTTTTTTTGAAAACGCATCCGCATCCTGAAAACCGTAAACCGCTGCCATTGGCACCAAAAGACGTACTTCATGATGAAGCGGCAATGCGCAAAAAATCCGTTGTTGAGTCCGTAGGTCGCATGTAGAAACAGGGTTGAGACCGTGTAGCTGCAAACCTACAATAGACCCCGTTAGAGGCAATCGGCAAAACCCAAAGTGTTTTAAGCCATGTGTCAATCAACATTTGCCAATCAGTAAGCATGAAATGATTCCACCCAGATGCTTCTTGACTGATCAATGAAAATACCAAATGCAGTCCATTTCTTTGCGCGAAAAAACAGCTACCGCAAAGCATGCCAGTTGCGCAAGAGAAATTTGCAAGGATGTAGTTTGCAGTGATGTTCTATTCTTCGCCCAATCCAAGACCTATTTCTTCTTCCTCTTCTTCTTCGAAGTATAATCAAGGCTTCCAATATTTTTGCTCGCTTCTGTTTGAATTTTCCAAATGAGAAATGTCGCTGGCGATAGAAATCGCTAGTTTGGCACATTCCTGGCTCTGTATTCGCCTCCCCCTCCCCAGATGTCAGCCACTGTTAGTAGCTGTACCTTAAACCAAAGATTTTTAACTTTTTACCAAAGGTGTGTGAAGTCAGAGCTTGATCATATTTCTAGTGCCTCGACTTTTCTAGTGCCTGCGACTTTGAAGACATTTGGTATAATGCCTTCAAGTATTACAAATCTGTATACCGTGAATATACAATTATTATAGACATTAAGAAGACATTATTCAAATACCTCGTTTATTTTAGTAGGAATTTCTTTATTATCATTAAATTAATTACTATCAAAAATATGATTTTTTTGTGGCAATTCAATAAAACGCTAAAGGCAACCACAGATGGCAAAAATCATCAAATAGGGGGGTCCAATTCGAAAATTTACGGTAGCAGTGAAGGTTTATTCGATGAGGCCTTACTGAAAATTTGTAGTTCTAGGGTGGGACTTATTTGAGAGGCCTTTTTCAAGGGGGGCGATTCGATGATTTTACGGTATGTAAATTTTTGCCTCTACCCCCGCAACGGAAGAACAACTCAACTCAACAACCATCACCACTTGGGATTTTAAAAATTCAATACGAGGTGGTCTATTTTGGCGGTAATGATGTCCAAGATGGCAACCAACGGAAACCTAAAATTCACAAAATGTATGCGGCCATGGATGCTAAGAGAGGGATTGGCAAAAATAACTCCTTACCTTGGAGGCTGAAGTAAAATAGTAGTTATTCATGTATTTTTAGAAAGCAGTTATTTATAAGATTTCTAACACAATTGAGCAAGATTGCTAACAATGTCCTTGACCCTTCTTCCTCTGTCCCCCTGCCCTTAAGGCCTTTTTTAGCGCCTTTTGAATGTAAGCAAACTTAGTCAGCTATTTCGAAAAAAGCTCATTACACACTCATTTATTTACTGACAAACAAGTGATTTGTGAGTTAACGTATGTTTTTCTTAAGAATTGCCTTCTTCAACCCAGGAATGAAATGGCTTACTTCACAAGAATCACTTCTTCAGTCAAGGATGCAGGCAAGTTACTTTGAGCTTTGAACTGACCAGTCTTTAGGTTTCTTTGTTAGTCTGATAATGAAAGCTAAATTGACTGGCACCATTTTCATTTAGCTTTCGTAATCACATATACTGCTATACAGGGGCGCCTGCACAACATTAAGGCAGGAGGGGCAATGCTGGTACTGAGGGCAAGCAGTAGAGCTTTTTCCACTAAACATCAATTATTTGTGAGGGGGAGGGGGATGTGGTAGTGCAAAATGAAATATTGGCATGGATTTGTTCCAACCATATAGCTAGGATTTTGGCAATAAAAGACTCTTAACGTAGGTATAATGTTGACAAATTTCTCCATGCAAGTGGCTATTAAATTGCCTTGTCATTATACAGTCTTTAGTTTTACGAAAATCAGTGGCAAAGAAGTCAGTGGAATTTTATAAGACACAGTTGGTTTTTAAAGTTTATTATTGTCTTCTGAAGAAGAATTTTCCATTATCAAAGACCGACAGTAAAACATAATCAGAGTGGCTAAAGTAGTCATCAATTATCTACGAGATTCTATAATCTTTTGTTAGGAGTTACTATTTCAAGGCACTGCTTGCCCCCTCTGCCCCTCCTGGAAGAGGACAGGAGGGGCAGCTGCCCCTGCAGCCCCTCCAGGGTAGGCACCCCTGCTGCTTTATGGAAATGATGTTGTTATCTGTAAATTTTATAGGTACATAATGAACACAATATTTTTAAAGCCTACTTAAAATGCATCAATTATTTTCCTGAACATTTAATTTTCATATTAGTGTATTTCCAAATTGTGAAATGAAAAGTGTTCAAAGGTACTTAAAATTTTACCACACATTATCCCTTAAACAATGAGGCACAAGAATATTATAAAGAATAAAGCAATGCACATTGCTTTGTGGCTGACACACCAATAAGATGCCACAGCTCAATCTGCTTGTAACCTTTGCTTAGATTTCCAGTAAGACTTCCCCTTTGTAAAATTACTATTTCACTTCCATCAACAAGGATTCCTTCCCAACTTGTCAAGTGACATCAAAATAATGGCTTGCAATTAGTAAGTATTCTTGCAATGCAGAACAGCTTACATGAAAAGCTAACCTTGCAGCAGTGTAGATGAAACAAAACGACCGTAATGGCTGGGGCAATGACATGAACATCACATGTTTCTGAAAACCATCACAGAGTTGCTTGCTTTAGTAAGACATATTACCTTTACTTAAAAACTAACGTTGCTGAAACAAGGAACTAGCGGATTGTGCATAAAACTAGTGGAATGACCAAGGAATGACCCCGGAACTAGCAGAAGGACCACAGAATGAAGAGAGAACTAGTGGAATAACCAGGGAATGAGCCTGAATCTAATGAAAGAACCAAAGAACCATGGGTCAATCAGCCTAGTAGTACCTAGTGTTAACTTCAAAGATAAGTATAAAATGTAAGATATCTAAAAGAAATCATGCTGGAATGATCATGTCCTGTCAGAGCCCTCTAAAAACTTTTTGCAACAAAATGGGGCCTTTTGTAAAATATTTTGTTATGGAAGTTTAATTATTCTCGTTAAAAAGACACAATTTCATTTGGTTTCCAAAAGTCAAGAATGAAAAAACTACTAACTGTGTCCCCGATATCCTGGAGAATTGTCTTCACTCTATTTACTTTGTCAGTTGCCATGGTGCTTCTTTGCCTGTTCATTCCTAAATGCTGCTAATTCTGCTAGTTCCGTTGTTGTTCCCACAAATCCCAAAAAGTCTTTTTTAGAGATAAACAAGTAGGCACTGTCTCTAATCTTTTATGCTAGATAACCTAATTTGATAAAGAATGAAGAAAATAATGACAAGATAAACTACTTTCCATAAAACCTTAATACAAATTATGCCATAAGAAAATGGGTGCACATCTGGCCTCTGACATATTTTCGACAGAAAAGTTGGAGCAACTGAATAAAAATGTTTGAATAAAGTGAATGTGGCTAGAATGAACACATAAGATACATAGAATTTATCATTTCGAACTACAATACTGTGCAGACCAGCATACTTATGATGAATGATTGCACTTTTGTGTTTGATGCACCCCCAAGTATCTTTCTATCCAGTATCTTTTTGTTCATCCCAGTTTCTGCCTATGCAGTGTTCGTGTTGCATTTGTTCTTTTTTTTTACTCCACTTTTGCGTTTTACTAGGAAAGAAGAATGCTGTTATCCTTGGAAGGAAGACATGGGAATCCATACCAAAGAAATACAGGCCATTGCCAAACAGATTAAATGTAGTTTTAAGCAAAACACTGTGGTATGTTAAATAGCAAATTTAACTGAAATGTATAATTTTTAGTAAAATATAGACTCATTGCCTTACCACCTCTGTTTAAAATGGCACACAAAGCACTGACACATGATACGTCTATAAACTATGTTTTTATAATCTGACAAGTAACATGTTGATTTAATTGAATGTCAGCCATATCATGAAGCAAGGTTATAAGTTCTCAGTGATTCAAGTAATACTAAGTTTTTTATAAGTTTATTTTAAAAGTTGAGCTGACAGAGGAAAATATTTTACAATCCCATTTTAATGTCTGCTTGCAGTTTTGAAAATTTGCACTTGTTTCTTTATTCAAGTGCATTGAATTTGGACCATTTAGACCTAGACCACTTACACAAAGGTCAAGTGAATTTTGCCAGACTACTGAAAAATATTTCACTTCCTTTTGCGGATCTGACATTTTTATTTATTGTTTTGAACTTATTGAATGTTGATACAATATATTTAGTATGGTCTGTATTAAGGCATTTCCTTCCTGAAAGCTAACAGAAGCCAATAATTACAATATACATGAATGATATTTCTTAATTTTTTGTTAGCCAAAAGAGCATTAAAAATGTGGACCAACCTAGAATGATTAGCTAGTTTCACAATTGAAATGGTACTGCCTGAATCTTGCATGATAATTTTTTAACTTCAAAACTCTAGTTTTTAAGGATACAGATGTCAGCCATAAGTGTTGTTTTTTGCACCATGGTCCTTGTTGATTAGTTACCAGCAGCAAGTATGAAACAGAAAAACATCCCATAAATAACAGACTTTTGAAAATTAAGAATCACTATAAAATGGTTCAATTTTTATGAAGTTCAGCACTTTTTTGTTTATATTTGAAGCTCAAAAGATGTACCTGATGGTGTAATAGTGGAAAAGACCCTTGATAGTGCCTTGCAGCAAATTTCAAACAGAATAGATGTTGAGGAGGTTTTTGTTGTTGGTGGATCAAGCGTCTATGAGGTATAAAGACTTTGAAAAAATTATAACTGTCTACATTCTTCGGGCTATACCAGTTTTGTGTCCCCTTCCTCTCTCTTATTTTCTTGTCAATTTTTTGCAAATTGTACTCCCTTCCCCTTTAAGTCACATAAGTTTTTAGAAATCTTATGTTTGGAGAAAGCTTTACAAACAGAAACGTCAACATATTAGAAAAATGATGTGCAAATTTTGTGTTACCTCTAACAACTGAGTATTGTATAGATTGTTCCAATTCAATTTTTCGGTTTTTATGAACAAAATGGCGTGTCAGGCCATAGTGAAAACGATTTGGGAGAAACTTTGGTGTTTGACCCATATGCTGAAATATCAAGGGTTAATTTTCTTGGAAAATCTTACTGCAGCACATTTATCAATTCTTCTTAAATTCCAATTGAAATGTTGCATTTAGTGCATAAAATATTGAAAAAAAAACAAACGTGTGAGGGCCGACGATGACGTGACAAATGTTAAAGGTAATGTGTCCATATAAAAGGACTGCATATACCCAACTTGTCAAGTAACATCAAAATAACGGCTTGCGATGGGTCTTACATTGCGTAGTTTTTTCACTGCAATGTGAACAATTTCAAATATATATATAAACAATTTTTAATAATACCCCCCCCCCCTTCTACCATGTTCTTTTGTTAATTTTTCTCATTGAGTAACCTTGCCGTGCCCCTTAACTCTCATACCTTCTTCGCTTTTCCACATAGGAAGCTATCAAGTCCCCACAATGTGATCGCATTTACCTTACTCATGTTCAAGGGGATTATGGATGTGATATATTTTTCCCTCAGTTTGATGAAGAAGTATACAAGAAAGTAAGGTGGGTAAATCTATTGAAGGTGGTGCGACAGCATGCGACTGTGCAGGCAGGCATGCGCTCGAAAGG